AATAATCGTTTTTTTTGATCAAATTTTTGATCAAAATATTTCGAATTTTAAATAAAAGATTAAATATCAATTTTTATTGAAATTAAATTTGACTTCTATAATAATAGATGTTCAAATATTATATAAAAATTATAAATTTATTTTTATTTATTTTTGTTAAACAGTTATTAAGATTTTTAGAATATTTTGAAATTTGTATATAAATCGTATACAAAATGAAAACCTTGATTTTTAAACTTTAATAACTTTTTATATAAAATTATGAAAAATCTAAAAATCTGTACCTGATCTAATAACTATATATAGAATCTATTTTCAAATTTCATTCAATTAGATTCAATATTGATATAATTGTGAATATTCGAAAATCACTGTTTTTGGTGTGAAAGGGTGGCCCGAAAGTAGGGTAGTTGACTTATGTTATTAGCGTATGCTAACGCCACATAGATATGTAGTAACCCGCGATTTAAGCTTCTCTTTGTTTAGTGTAAACAGGGAATTCAATTCATATGTATGATGATCACTGCGAGTTTATTATTTATTAAATACTAAATACATGTAAATAGTAGTAAATGCAGAAGCTGCCAATCTTGATCGATTGCATTTAAAACCTAGTCTAAGTGACCACTGGTCATACCCTCACCATCGCTGTTATACTCAGTAGTCGCTTTGTAAATCCACTTAAAATTTCCAAGTTGTTCAGAATTTCTTTTTCCACATCTCTCTTCTCACTCTCCACATCTCCGCTAACCGCATTTTCGCTGCATCGCCAGGGACAGACACAGAGGCGGATGTAGATTCACATATTAACGTAGACGCCAATTCAGACTCTACCCCACTAACATGAAGCAAGGAATCACTCGCCATATCTTATCGCTGGGACTATCGATAATACAGTAGCACGCAGCGTCAGAACTGGAATTATGCTCGCTAGACGCTGTTAGGGATCAATATGGAAGGTGCGACTCTAGTGGATTCTATACAATCTCACCTTATATCATAATAATAAGATTACCCTTCTTTATACCTATAAACAGAACCCCTTCATAGTAACCTACACAAGAATAGATTCTTGGAAAAGTCCTGATATCAATATACCAATTCGAAATCAAATTTGTTACCATCAAAAGTCATTATTTCGAATCTCTATCAATACAAAAAATAAAGATATTGTGACGGAACAGACGGCTCTCTTCCGCCCACTGGCTCATACTACATACATAGTATGATATGACGGCTCTTTTGGACCTTCCTTTCACAGCTTAGAGCCCTAGCTCTATAGCTCTAGACCTAGGCATCTTACGCCTAGGACTCTTTCACCCTTTTTGGCCTAGCCCTTATGGCTCCCAATACCTGTATATATAGTCCTCCTTTTAGCATCCTACATAGCTCTTCACTTGTAGATTCTAAGTACACAATCGGAGTCCTGTTTATACCCTTTTGGTCACAGATATACTCTTTTTCAATATCTTATACTTCGACTCTCAATATATTAACTCTCAACTCCGAATAGTTTTAATAAACCCTTTCTCTATAATATTTTTCGATTTTTTATAATATTCCTTAATATAGATATACAGCAACTTATACAATTTAATAGGTTTTTAATCATTTTATAAAATAGCAAACGGATATAACAATAATTCACAATATTTATAGATTTGATATTAGAATATAAAAATATAAATCCTATAATTAGTAACTCTATTGATAATTTACAATATAATAGATTTGAAACCAGAATAGAAAATTCTGATTATACAAATTATAGATATTTGGAAAACAAAAGAATAATAAAAATAGTTTTAGATTAGAATCAAGGAATATACAAGGATTGGAATATATAATTGAAGACAAAAAAGGAATAGGGATAAATAGAAATAGTTTTATTATTGGTTTGTTTTCTATATAGGAATATATATTAGGAATCAATATGAAAAATATAACTCTAATGGATTCTATATAGTCTTACCTCACATCATAATAATAAGATCACCTTTCTTCATACCTATAAACAGAACCCCTTCAACGCTAGAGAGGTGTTTTTAGCGAGGAAGGTAATTTTCTCCTCGATACTGCGATTAGAGGTGTCGTTAGGTACAGTTCTGTGCATACCGGTTATGGTTGATGGGAGGTGATACTTATTCGTTGCGCAAAAGTTCAGCCACTAGAGCTACTGCAAACACTACGTTTTTTGTATAACCTGATTCCTCTTCTCCAGTATGAGAAAATATAAGGGCGATAAATGAGGTTTATTTGAGCTTTGTATTGATGGGTGATCTCGATACGGGTGACAGGAAGCTGCAGGGGCGAGACAATAGATTGGGGTCGTTGAGAAGTGCTAGAGGGGATAACTCAGGGTCAACAATTTCGGCTGCTTCAAAAGTGTCTTTTATGTCGAGGAACAGTCAAGCTAACGAGGGAAGACTGACAATCTTTCTGATAACTCGTGGTGGAAGTCTCTTCTGATGTTTCGATCTAACGGTGGTTCGATTTGTGATAAATGCGGCTGGAGCCATTGTGCTGGCTACCCCGTCACCGCAAAGCTCTGAAAGCGATGGCAGCGCAGCTTGAGGAATTGAGCTAGCAAGTATGTGAGGGCTGTAACCGTTGTTATACATGATGATTACGACCAGTTCTCGAAAGCAGATTCCTTTAGACATGCTTGATGTTTTGTTTGACCTGGTTTGAAACTAAACAGTCACCCCACTTCTTATTTCAGCTGTAGTGAATTTGGTTGTGCTATCTTATTTCTTTCTTTCTGAATAGCAGAACAATTACATATGACGACAACTGAGTAATGCGATGAATTCAGAGGTACATTTGGTCGGTGTCCCTAATTATACTTCTACACTTGTATCATATTGTGAATTAAAGACGGGAAGATGCCTGGGGACTATTCGAGATTACTAGATTGAAATTTGGAATATAACTGTTAGACACTACTCAGCACAGTATTTTTGGTATGCCCATTAGGTATCTGACACATTCTCTATATTGTCCCTTGAACAGCAAAGTTTTGCGTGGAGAACCTAACTTCGGAAAGCGACTATACTGCTAATATAGTATCAAGTCTAACGTCAGCAATGTAGATGATCATGTAGACTTAGGACTTGATGAGTCTCCATGATAAGTGTGAAATTCGATTTACTACCGAGACCGAAAGACGACGTATGTTGCTAGTTATTGTAAATATGAGAGGCTGTCTTAAAAATATAGCCTGAAGTATGATCTCACGAAGTAAGGGGGTATATCATCGAAATTCATATTTGATTAGTACTTTGCACTCTCTTGAGGATACGTTTGTCTCGGATTGAATGGATCATCACATATTCCCGACAGGAACAAAAGCCCCTAAGCAGTAATGAGTACGCAAAGCTTTGGGTTGTTTCTAATACTATTTTACAAGTATTATGTTTGGATTGACTTAAACAGAACTGGAAATTACCAAGGCCTGCAATTGACATTTCGCCAAAACTCCAAAAATAGGTTTCTGCCTGGACTGAAACTATATATAATTTTTGATAATATATCTATAATAGCTTATATTATTTATTATCCTATAAAGAAGTGTAACGTTTTAATACTATTTATATTATCAATATTATAGATATAAGATATAGAGTATAAAGTAAAGAGTATAAGATATAGGATATAGAGTATAGAATATAGAATATAAAATATATAAAATATATAATATAAATAATATAGATATAGATATTATAGATATTAGAGTTATTGATACTAATAGTATATAGGTGAATTATGACTGAAATTATATAATTCAGAATTATTTTAAAATCGATAATATCTTATAATCAATATAGATTATTAATATTAT